GGGGGGGGGGGGGGGGGGGTGGTAAACGGACCATTTTAGTTTTTAGAATTGAAAAGAAAAGACCTAGTTGCACCAACATTTAGATGATGAGATAATTAGAGTTATTATGATGTATGTATTATAATTTGTAGATATGTGAAAGCTGCTCTAATCTTTTGTTAATCAGGTTCATTTATTTAAAATTTGTAGGTTGATGTCGTTCCAATGGTGGATGTACCTAAAGTTATAACCAACTACCACATGTGTATTCCTAAAATGATGAAATTTGATTTTGATTTGATATCTCGCGCAAGCCAGATGAAACTCATAGTGCAGTACGGCGTTGGCCTTGAAGGTTGTTACCATGTTCTTTACTTTTCAACGTGTATTTTTGCGTTCTTTTTTTTTTTTCCTTTTAAAGAAATATATATTTTTGAACTTAATAATTGAAGGTGTGGACATTGATGCTGCCACAAAGTTTGGAATCAAAGTTGCCAGGATACCGAGTGGGGTAACTGGAAATGCAATGTCATGCGCAGAAATGGCTATATACCTGATTTTAGGGCTTCTTCGGAGGCAGGTAAAACTAAATTTATCCTCGTACATTGCTTCTCCTTGATGTTATTAGTTAGAGTCTGGGGGAATTGCTTGGTGTAGTATGAAACTGTTTCTCATTTATTCATTTTGTTTTAAGCTAAGTTATAGTTATAGTCTGCTATTTAGAGAGGAATCGGATGAGCGCCAATTTTGAAGATGGGAATGATAAATGATGATAAGTCCAACCAGAGCACATCAAAGTTGAATTCAAGTATTTTAGGAATCCTTTCGATGTGGAGTACGGGGATGGAAGGATTAGAAGTGAGGAAAAGGGGAGATTTGTGGTTTCAATCTCTGTCCAATTTGTTTTGGCTTGGATGGGCAAGCTGAACATCTGATATCAAAAAGATGTGGTGATTAGGTACCTTAAGCTATTAGTCAATACCCTTTGTATATTTTTTCTCTTCCACTATAGAAGTATGGCTTTTCATTAAAAAGAAAAAAAAAAGATTATATACTTTGATTGGAGAAATCCTTGTATAAGAGAGGACTGGGGAGATATACTTTAGAAGGATTTCATGGATTTTGTAAAAAATTTGCCAAGAAGTTCAGCTCTGTCAAAGCATAGTAAAGGGGAAAACTTTAATCCCTTGGGTTTGTTTGGTGGACAGTGTGTCTGGAGGAGTAAAGATTGGGGAAGAAAGTTAAAAGGCCTTGGAAAGATATTCAGAACAAACAAATATTCTTTTGCATACTACCTTTCTGATAATCGTAAATCCTTCTAGATAACCAACCAATTTATTCAAAGGAATATACAAGAGACCAAAAAATTATTCGAATTAGAATTTAGTAGTTATTGAAGAGATAAATGCTCTTAAACAAAATTGCACATGAAATATAGTAGAACTACTGAAAGATAAGTAATCAGTAGGGTGCAAATAAGTGTTCAATATAAAGTGCAAAGATGACGGCAACATTGAACTTTACAAAGCTAGATTAGTTGCTTAAGGCTTTAGACCTATGAAATTGATTATCAAAAACCATTTGCTTCTTTTGCTAAGATTGATTCGCTAGAGTGCGCTTATCTATTGTTGTTAATTCAGAGTGCCCACTTGATCAGCTCGATGTCAAAGTGCATTCTTCAATGGTGATCTTGAAGAGGAGATATTTGCAAACTTATCAACAGGTTTTGAAGTGGATCTTGGAGTCAAAAAAGTATGCATGCTAGATAAATCTCTGTATAGCATTAACAGTTTCCTATGCATGGTTTGAACGTTCTGGGAAAGCAATTACAAGCTATGGTTTTCTTCAGAATCCAACCAATCATATCATTTTCATAAACACACTGGAAATTACAAGATGGTTGTTTTAATATTGTATGTTGAGGAAATCATTCTTATAGGTAGTGATGGGGTTGGATTGAATAGTTTGAAGAAAAAACTAGAAAATGAAATCCAAATCAAAGACTTGAGTTTTGAAGTATTTCCTAGGGATGAAATTTTCCAGGTCAATAAAAGATATCCTTGTTAATCAAAGGAAATATATTATTGACTTGCTTGAAGAGATAGATTTGCTAGGTCGTAGGACAACATAAACTCCTATCGATTCAAATTAAAAATTGCTAGGAGTAGAAGGAAGAGGTAAAAGATAAGGAAAGATACCAAAGACTTGTGGGAATACTTATTTACTTATCTCACACTCGTTAGGATATTACTATAGTTAGTATAGTAAGCTAATTCATGCACGTGCTACTTTGAGGCAATTTACATGATCCTAAGATATTTGCAAGGAACTCCTGAAAGGGCATACTTGCTAACCAACATGATCACTTACATGTTGAAATTTACACAAATGTTGATTAGGCAGGCAGCACCACAAAATAACGATCTACTTCTAGTTATTGCTTTTTTGTAGGAGGGAATATTTAGTTACCCAACTAAGTAACAAAAAAAAAAAAAAATGTCGTAGTTAGATGTAGGTTGCCGTAGAATTCAAGCTTTCAGCTCATGACATTTGTGAAGGTATTTGGATAAAAAAGACTAGTGGAAGAATTGAAATTTTTCCAGATGACGTCTATGCGTGTTTATTGTGATAATAAGACAGCCATCTTAATTGCTCACTATCCAATCCTCCATGATAGAACAAAACATATCCAAGTTGATAAACACTTTATAAACAGTAAGATTGATATTGGAGTGATATGTATTCCGTATCTTCCTACAACGGAGCAATTGCTGATGTGTTAACTAAAGGACTTCCAAAGTGACAATTTGCAAAGTTCATTGACAAGTTAACAATGAAGATATCTTCAAACCAGCTTGAGGGGGAATGTTGTTTATGTTTTTGATATTTTCTTTAATTATATTTACTAACAGTGATTAGATTGTAATTATTTGTGTAAATCTTTTCCCTTTATGTATTAGGTCTTTCTTCTGCTTAAAAAAGGCCTCACCCTTGTATCTATTGTGAATATGAAAGAATAGACAATTATTCTTCAAATGGATATTTTACCGTATGTTATGCATTTCCAGAAAGAGATGCAGATTGCAATTGACCAAAGAAGGCTTGGAGAGCCAACTGGGGATACACTCCTTGGAAAAACAGTAACTCTCTCTCTCTCTCACTCTTTGCACAGTCAGAGAAGCTACAATTTCAGAAATTTGCTAAATAATCTAAAATGATCAGTGGTAGAGCCTTTATGCTGTTACGTTTGGGAAACCAAAGTCTTTATACTTATAGCCTAGGTTTAGGATATCGAAAGTATGTTACAATGATTAGTCACACAACAAAATTAACTAATCAAGCTGGCTGACTGGCTACGTAGCCCAAACTAACTCATTAACTAAATTATAGAATAATCACAATGATACTCCTAATAATTTTACATCAATTCACCTTCACAAAAATAGAAGGAAAACTCAATGATACTCCAAATAAGCTTACATTGATTCATTTAAATTTGGATAACCCAACTTGTAGCTACATTGTATAGGTATGTCACTTAGTTCCCAAATTCTCTAATGATTCTAATCATATGTTTTTATCGATAATAAGCCATTTACTCTGTAGCTAGAATATTTATAACTCCTCAAAAACATTATAGTGCAAGTAAAAAATATTAGCCATACTAGTTAAAGAGCAAACAGAACCAAAATATATGTACGTACAAGATGGCACACAACTACTAGAAATAATTATAGGTGATGGTCTGTGCAATAGGCTCGTCTATGCGAAATTCAAGTGCTGCCTAATAGGAAAAATAGGGGAAATAATTAGCTGATAAGCCGAGTGAGTGATATTTATACATAGAATTTGTTTGAAGGAAAACAAAAATTACATGTTAAGAGGACACTACAACTTTTAAGAATGATGAAACATTTTTTCTGAAACAATGGTTCAATATGCTTATAACCATGAATTAGATGAACATGTATGTTTAAAATTATATATTTCAAGAAATATTTCGTACAGCCAGAAAGTTCCTCGAATTGCAATTTTGAATGTTTTTACTTTTTTATGAACAAATTGTTGGAAGTATTATGTATTTATTAGTGACAAGGTTGTATAATGTATGAAAAAAATGCTTTTTAAGTAGATGGAGAAATCAAAGAAGATACATATTCTTGTTGAAAAGAGAATTGGGCAATTTGAAGGGAATTATGGAGTTTCGTTTTACTTCACGAGAAAGGAAAAAAAAAGTTTGATAGGCTTTATTGAGTGATTTTTGCAGGAGAGCGAGATGATTGGGAAAGTGCTTTGAGTTAAGATTTCATGCTAAGTTTAGGAGCTATTTCATGGTTTCTTAAGAAGCAGTAAACCATTTAGTTGAAAAAGATTCTTGAAGAGTTATACACATTGATCTTGAAGAAGTCACTGTCATTTATTGTATAACAATTCAACAATCAAGTTTTCAGAAAAACCTTTTTTGCATGGCTAAGTAAACACATTGACACAATATCTTTACTTAAAAAAACCTTGCAAATGAGGGGGTTGTTAAACTGAGGTACTAGCTACTACAAAATGAAAATAAAATTGTTCATATTTTTAACAATTTTCTGCATTTCAGAATTTCACAGGGCAGCCTTTGACTTGAAGTTTTTACTATTCTAAACTTCATTTAAAGGGAGTGATTTTCGAACCATCTGATTAAGTGAAATTATCCTCGTTAATAGCCCTCTCCAATCGGTCAACATGAATTGTCCCACCCACAGGAACTAGTCACTGACTTTCTATGAATATGCATTGCCAATCTAATTATAACTCAGTGGTTAAGTCATACTTATTTTCTTCAAGAAGTTGTAGGTTTGAATCCTCCCACCTAGACAGTTTGATCTAATATTCTCGGACACAATTTTCTTTGTCAGTTTTTAAGAGACGTAATTTTCTACCTTTTTAGGTTTTCATCATGGGCTTCGGGAACATTGGTCTGGAATTGGCAAAGCGCTTGCGCCCATTTGGTGTAAGAATTATTGCTACAAAACGAAAATGGGCGCAAAATTCTAGCCAGTTGAATGGTAATAAAAGCGACCAGAAGATGATACTTTTAATGTTTAATCTCTTACTCATTGGTGTCAATACCATTTCATAAAGGTGCAAGTGATGATCTTGTTGATGAGAAAGGTGCTCACGAGGATATTCACAAGTTTGCGAGCATTGCAGACATCGTTGTTTGTTGCTTGTGTCTTAATAGAGAAACTGTAAGACTGCCCCCTTGGTTACTTTCTTCTTGCCTCTTCAGGAATGATCATTGCAGATTATGTTTTATGTATCACTAAAAATAGATTGTCAATCTTCTTAATTTTGTTGCCTATCCCTGTTGATTGAATACTCATAGCTACAATTCTAAAAGCCTTCTGTTGACAATGCCACTGAACTTCAAAAAATATCTTAAACTTTTTATTTTCTTTAAGTTTCGTTACTGCAATTTTGTGTTCTCTATTTTGTTGTTTTGCTAAACTAAACCATTGTGAGAAGTGAAGTAGTTTCTTGGAAAGTTGATTTTCTAGCAGTGTTAGTTCAGTCATTCGTTCAGACTTATTCTCTGAACATGATTTGTGATTTTACTTTCAGGTCGGCATCGTGAACGAGTCGTTCTTATCTTCCATGAAAAAGGTTTGTGGTTCTAGTAGTAAACTGAATGAAGTATTGAAAAATATCGTTGGAATTTTTGCTTTATATTTTTTTTCCTATGCTTTGTGCTTTAATTTAGTGTCAATTACAGGGTTCACTTTTGGTGAATGTTGCTAGAGGTGGTCTCCTGAATTACCAGTCCACTTTACATTCCCTTGAGTCTGGTCACTTAGGAGGCTTGGGCATTGATGTTGCTTGGACTGAGCCATTTGACCCCAATGATCCCATTTTGAAGTTCAATAATGTGCTCATCACTCCTCATGTTGCTGGAGTTACCGAACACTCTTATCGGTCCATGGCTAAGGTATTCTATTGGTTTTGTTTTCTTAATTTCATGGCGACATTGGTTCTGTTTATCGTCTCTTCCGTAATGCAGTATTTAATCCTTTCCATTAGATCCCTATAGTCAATATATAAAGCTGAAGTAGTACTTGATTCTGTTTGTCACTGATGAATTTTAATTGTGTGACAATGATAACTTGATTGAAATAACAAATCAATATATAAACAATGAAACTAAAATGTTGAAAAGATAAGAGACAAAATTGAAAACTTTTTCAAACATTAAGGACTAAATTATAGATATAACCTAGAGTAAATATATATTATAGCATAAAAACATCCCATGTATCTTTTATTGTTTAGGATTTTGTAAGTTTTCTCAGAGGAAATGGTTTTATTAACTCAGACCTGTTAGTTCCGTTTAATTATGATGGGAATTCAATGTGATATTTTGGTGAACTGCTTCAAGGTCAAGGTTTTGGTTTTAAGAAATGGGTGAAATATCATAATGGTATCTCAAACTCCGATACTGATACAAGTTGTCATCTCTTATATACCATATTTCTAATTTCATAGTCATTAGGTCGTAACCATAACAGCTCATTATTGGCTTTTACAAGACTTTATGGATTGTATCAGTATTTTTTTTTTTTTTTTTTTTTTTTTTT